TGATGTATGTGAAATATAAACAAAAATGTTAAAATCTTCAAGTTAAGTAAAAAGCAATGGGCACACATCTGAACATTAGCTTAGGTAACATGTTTTTAAATATTCATATCAAAAATTACCTAAATGCCTAGATATTTATGATTAGGGTTGTTGTTCCTTTGCCAAAATTTTGTTTAGTATCATGAAATTCCCCCACTCCTCCCACATACCTGCCAAAAATAAAGGTTTCAGAAAGGAAGTTCTATACAAATTCAAACTGTGGTTCATCATTTTCATCTTCAGTACACATGCGCAAGCCAATAAAAATGAGTCAATATTTCACCAAGTTCCATAGCAAAAAAAAAAAAAAAAGCAAAGTATCAAAATTCATCTCATCAGCAATAGGATAATAGCCAGCGAAGACATTTTATTGTCCATTTCTTAAAAAGAAAACTGAATGTCATGATTTATACTATCCATCATGGTCCAGTCACCTTCACCATCAGTCACTTCATCAATGTGTCCCGTGCTTTATATAGGAAAACAATCTACTAACCAACTACAAGATGGGCATGTACTTTGAGTTCTTTTGTAACCTGCCATGGTCGAATGTTTATGTCCCCACTAAATTCATATGTTGGAATCCTAACACTCAGGATGATGGTATTTGGAGGTATGGGACTTCTGTAGGTTATTATATCATGAGAGTGGAGCCCTTGTGACCAGAATTAGTGGCCACATGGGCAGGGTATGGTGGCTCACAACTGTAATCCCAACACTTTGGGAGGCTGAGGCAGATGGATCACAAGGTCAGGAGTTTGAGACCAGCCTGGCCAACATGGTGAAACCCCGTCTCTACTAAAAATACAAAAATTAGCTGGGTGTGGTGGTGGGTACTTGTAATCCTAGCTACTCTGGAAGCTGAGGGAGGTTGCAATGAGCCGAGATCATGCCATTGCTCTCCAGCCTGGGTGATAGGGCGAGACTCCATCTCAAAAAAGAGAAGTAGTGCCCGCAGAAGAGAGACCCTATAGAGGTAGCTAGCCCCTTCCACTATGTGAGGACACAGTGAGTAGGCACCATCTATGAACCAGGAAGAGGTCCTTACTGGACACCAAGTCTGCTGGTGCCTTGATCTTAACCTTCTCAGCCTCCAGAACTATGAGAAATAAATTTCTGTTTATAAGTTATGCAAGTCTATGGTATTTTGTTATAGTAGCCTTAACATACAAAGACACAGCCTTTATGGGTGTTAATTGGGCTATTCCATTCAAGTTATTGCCCAGATCCCTTTTGAATTAACTGGATAACATTTCAAGATAGGTGTCTTAGTACATTTTGTGCTGCTATATTAGAATACCACAGATGGGGTAATTTATAATGAACAGAAACTTACTTGCTTACAGTTCTGGAGGCGGGGAAATTCAATATCAAGGTGTTGGCATCTGGCAAAGGCCTTCTTGCTGTGTTAACAAATGGCAAAAAGGTAAAGACGGAGGAACTCTGTGTCCTCATGTAGTGGAAGAGCAGAAAAGCAAAGAGGCACAAACTCACCCTTTTTAAATGGCCTTAATCCCCGCCTGTGACAACTAAGCCCTCATGGCCTAATCACCTCTCTAAGATCCTACCTCTTAATAATGTTACACTGGTAATTCAATTTCAACATGAGCTTTGGAGGGGAGAAACGTTCAAACCATAACAGTAGGTACATAACTGTCAGCATAGAATCAACTTACATGACTTGCCCAATAACCTGGAATGGAACATGCACTCTGGGCTATGTCAGCTGTGTTCTAATTAACTGTGCTGACGTTTCTGAGGGTAAATGGCTTAGAATGTATAGTCAGTTAAATAGTTTCTCTCCAAATACATGTCTACCTGGAATCTCAGAATGTGCACTTATTTGGAAATAGGGTTGTTGCAGATGTCATTTGTTAAGATGAGTAATGCATCTACATGCCAAAGAACACCACCAGAAGTAAGGAGAGAGGCACAGAAGATTCTCCCTCAGAGCCTCCAGAAGAAACCAATATTGCTGACACCTCGATTTCAGACTTCTAGCCTCCAGAATTGTGATATAAAAAAATTCCTATTGTATTAAGCCACACAGTTTGTGGTACTTTAATATAGTAGCCCCGGCAAATTAATATAAAAGGTAAGTATGATGCTTTAAAAAGCATCAATTCTAGGCTTCAACATAGTGTAGCTATGGCATCTGTCACCAGGTTAATTGCCAGAATTGACTGACTGCTCTGGCATCTTCCTAGTCCAGAGTTCCCTTCCTCTGAGAGCTCCATGTGTGTTCTTCCCAAAGTGTCAACTCAGTCAAAAAGAATGACATTTCCAATCTGACAAAGTCTATTTTTAGTCAAGGTATGTGGGGAGCTGTACTTCCCGGCTAGAACTCTCCAATAAGCACTGATCCCTTTGCAAGCAAATGTAGGTTAGCCAAATCTGTTTTACAAAGTGCCTCCCTCCACCTGTGATTTTGTTATAGTATCTGTCAAGTCACAGCTCCATATCGGTTTCACAGAAAGCATGTAAATTTATAAGATTAAACTTATATAAGCCTTGACCTTGATGAAGTCCTAATCATTTCCAAGACAAGCCTTTATATTTTCTTTGATATTACATCAGAGCATGTACTCTAATTTATCAGAGTAGAAGCATATATATATATGAGAGAGAGAGAGAGAGAGAGAGAGAGAGAGAGTCTCGCCTTGTTGCCCAGGCTGAAGTGCAGTGGCACAATTTTGGCTTACTACAACCTCCGCCTCCTTGGTTCAAGCTATTCTCTGCCTTAGCCTCCCGAGTAGCTGGGATTACAGGCACCCACCACCATGCCCAGCTAAGTTTTTGTATTTTTAGTAGACACAGGCTTTCATCATCTTGGTCAGGCTGGTCTTGAACTCCTGACCTCATGATCCACCCACCTTGGCCTCCCAAAGTGCTGGGATTACAAGCATAAGCCACCATGCCCAGCTGCTGAAAAATATTTACCTCTATTTTACTTTCTTATTAAAATATTATTTATACTATAAAGCAAGACTCTAAATGTTAAGGTAAAACTTAATGTTGTAAGGAACTTCAAACTTTCCCTCTGGGAGTTCTATAATGAGTCTGCCGAAATAAATTGACAATAGACAAATTAACAAGAGAAGGCATACAAATTTTTTTTTTTTGAGACAGAGTCTTGCTACCTGTCACCCAGGCTGGAGTGCCATGGGATGATCTCAGCTCACTCTGCTTCCCAGGTTCAAGCAATTCTCCTGCCTGTCTACTGAGTGGCTGGGGCTACAGGCATGCACCAGCATGCCCGGCTAATTTTTATTTCTTTAGTAGAGACAGGGTTTTACCATGTTGGCCAGGCTGGTCTTGAACTCCTAACCTCGTGATCTGCCCACCTCAGCCTCCCAAAGTGCTGGGATTACAGGCGCGAGCCACTGCACTCAGCTGGCATACAAATGTATTAATGTGTGCATATGCACAAGAGTCACACAAAATATGAGACTCAAGGAAGAGTCAGATGGCTGAAGTTATAATACCCTCTTTATAGGAGAGAGGGAAGTGGGGAATGTAGGCAATTTGAGAAAAAGAGTAAATGATTTTTAGGTAAAATTAACCATCCCAAAGGACAGACAGTAGCCTGAAACAAAGTTTCCCTGTGCTCTAGAGAAGGTGGCAGCAAGTTACAGGAGAGGAACAGAACTGCACTGTGAACAAAGGTTGCCCTATTATGTAGAAAAAGTCTCTCAGGCTGAAAAAAAAAAAAAGTCTCAGAGCAGCCTCCAGAAGAATAAGAATAGCCTGTCTGGGCATGGTGATGACTTTTAATCTTCACTCGTGACTAATCTTGACTGGTTATTTGATGCAATTCTTAAGGAGGCAGTTTAAGACAGTAGCATTTATTTTAGAAGAACTTCCCTCAGTCAGATAATCTCTTTTGTTCAAATCACTCAGCATGCTAAAGCTCCATATTTTGGGATAGTGTTTTCTGAGCCTCAACACTGTCTATGGAGAGGACCCATGAAAATTAATTATACCCTTAGGAAACTCATCACGTGCAGACCTAGTCCATTCCTCTTTATATTAAAAGGAAATTTTGACATTAAAATATTTCTATCAAGCTTCAACATACTATAAAACAAAATGAAAACTATTCATTTTAATCTGTACAGAAGTAGAAAACCAGTTATCTTAATAAATTGCTTAGGGGATAAATTCTGATCCCAGGTCAGCCTCTAAAGCATCCAGTGAACTTGGCTGTACAGAATCTAAAATGCACTGAGAAGGATGTCTTTAGTGTACAGGGTTGACATCAAATTTAACTGTAGAAACATTTCAGTTATACATCAGGTGGGCAACTCTTGATGATTCCACTGAATTAAAAAAAATTGCTGTTAATTAGAAGCTACTTTTTTTTTGTCTCAACTAATCTTTGAAAAGAGATTCCCAGTGATATTATTTATTGTTATTTTAGTATTCACTTTGTGAAGATACTAGTATTTGTCATATTCAGAAAAAATCCTTTAAGAAACATAGATGAAATATTCTATAAAACACTGGAATAAAATATTTTAAAGAATATATTTTCAGGCCAGTCACAGTGGCTCATGCCTATAATCCCAGCACTTTGGGAGGCCAAGGTAAGCAGATCACTTGAGCTCAGGAGTTCAAGACCAGTGTGGGCAACATGGTGAGACCCCATCTTATTCTTTTTTTAAAAAATAAAAAGAAAGAGGGCTAGGTGTGGTGGTTCATGCCTGTAATTCCAAAACTTTGGAAAGCCGAGGTGGGTGGATCACCTGAGGTCAGGAGTTCAAGACCAGCCTGGCCAACATGGCAAAAACCCATCTCTACTAAAAATACAAAAAAAATTAGCCAGGCATGGTGGTGGGTGCCTGTAATCTGAGGCTGAGGCAGGAAAATTGCGTGAACCAGGGAGGCAGAGGTGGCAGTGAGCCGTGATTGCGCCATTGCACTCCAGCCTGGGCAAGAAGGGTGAAACTCCATCTCAAAAAATAAAATAGGGGAAGATGGTGGAGCTGGATACCAAGTCTGTGCTGTTTGTGTGTCTGGGTAACATTTGTCGATCACCCATTGCAGAAGCAGTTTTCAGGAAACTTGTAACTGGTTAAAACATCTCAGAGAATTGGGTCATTGACAGTGGTGCTGTTTCTGACTGAAACTTGGGCCAGTCCCCAGACCCAAGAGCTGTGAGCTGCCTAAGAAATCATGGCATTCACACAGCCCATAAAGCAAGACAGATTACCAAAGAAGATTTTGCCACATTTGATTATATACTATGTATGGATGAAAGCAATCTGAGAGATTTGAATAGAAAAAATAATCAAGTTAAAACCTGCAAAGCTAAAATTGAACTACTTGGGTGTTATGATCCACACAAACAACTTATTATTGAAGATTCCTATTATAGGAATGTCTCTGACTTTGAGACAGTATACCAGCAGTGTGTCAGGTGCTGCAGAGAGTTCTTGGAGAAGGCCCACTGAAGCAGGTTCATGCCCTGCTGTGGCCAGCCTCACTAGACCCCACTCTGAGGCCCTGTGTTTCTCAGTCAGTGTGTAATAATGTTCCAGAGTCCAAAGCCCCAGCTCTTTGTTCAGTTAACTTACTGTTTCTTACCTTGAAAAATAATTGTAGATGGAAGTCAGTTGTGTTTGGTAGAAGAGTAAATAAAAACCTTTGATTCAGACAGTTTATGGGGTGTATTAAGCATTCTTAGGCTAGTTGAACATCTCACTTTGCCCCAATTACAAAAATAGTTGAACAAACAACATAAAATATAATGAAGGAAAACCTCACTTGAAGGCCCAGGTCAACATCTAAGCCCACTGAGACTTAGATCGTCGAGTCTACCTCTTCAGTAGGTGTGTATGGATGGCCTGATAGAGGACAGGTGCCCTCTGCTCCCCTGCACTACCTCTCCTTTCCCCAGGGCCTTTTATGGATTCACAGTAGCCCCTCTGTGGGAGCTCACGGTATAGATTAGAAGTGTTTTAATTTATACACACCTGTAGTGCACACTTGTATATTGAAAAGATAGAGAAGACAGAAAGATTTATGGAATCAGTCATTAGCACCTTTAATACTTCTTGATTTTGTCGAGTTTACTTCATGAGGAGGTCAGCTCATTTGTTCTCATCTGAACCACTTTGCCTCTGAAACTTAATTCCTCCAGAAAGAAGGACACTTGTATGCTAGTCTGTCTGCAGTCAGCTGAGGAATACGACTTTTGTATGCACATGTAACCCAAATGTCCAATATAAATTGGCTTATTTTTAAAAATAATTTTAAAAGTTGGGAAAAGTTTTATTTGGCATGCATAAATATTGATTATTAAGTATTCTTCATCAGCATTTAATAAATGTATAGGCAGATACAGGTAATTTTTGTATATTTTGAGATAATGTCAAAATCATATATATTTCAAAATAAACAGGGGGTTACAAAAATACAGCTAAAGATATGAAAAAAATAAAATTAAAATAATATATTTTCAGCAAATAAAATAACTCTCAACACCATAGGTTCTGCAGCCTTTTTGCAAGCTGGCTCTAGAAACACAAGAAACCCTGAAATGGGTCTAGTAAGGGAAAAAGAGAAGCAGGAATTATCAGTACCAAGCTGCAGCAAAGGAACGGGGAGTTTTCATGTGTTAACCTTTCTGTTTTCTCTTTCCCTCTTCCCTTCCTCCTTTGCCCTGCAATGTCCCATGCCATTAGAGCAGCATAGTTGACTTTCTTTTTTAATCATCTATCCTCTTCAGGAAGCTGATGAAAGTTATACATTTTCTCTTCAGAAAATGATGCATATACTCATACAATTATGAACGGCATTCTAGGAGTATTCATGGATTCTCTGCATTTAGGGATGACCTAAAACACTCCTCTTTCCTCATTATGAGCCTCTGCCTCAACCTCTTACCAAATCTTTCAATAAAAGAATCTGATAAACTCATTCGTACCCAAATACAATAAGGCTTAATAGTTGGCCATTCTCTCATGGAAGAGAATTATAATTGAAGTGACATCATCTGTAACTGTAGAATATAGCATCATTGTACTATGTGGGAGCACCATTTACACCCTAATGACTCCTTCCTGGAGACCCAAAATCAAACCTTCACATAAGGTTAACTTGATTTTGGGTACCCACCCTTGGAATCAATTCAGAGTATATAGAATTGAATTCATCTTTCCCCTAGAAAATTAATTCCACTTCATTTTTTTCTTTATTTAAATTAAGACAGTCTCCCTCTGTGGCCTAGGCTGGAGTGCAGTGGTGTGATCTCAGTTCTCTGCAACTTCTACCTCCCTGGGTTCAAGCGATTCTCCTGCCTCAACCTCCCAAGTATCTGGGGATCACAGGTGCCCACCACCACACCCAGTTAATTTTTGTATTTTTAGTAGAGATGGGGTTTCATCCTGTTGGCCAGGCTGGTACCGAACTCCTGACCTCAAGCAATGCACCCACCTCAGCTTCCCAAAGTGCTGGAATTACAGGTGTGTGCCACTGCACCTGGACTAATTCCACTTTCATTGCTTTCATAATCCAAGTTCAGAATCTTGGAATTACCTTGATCCTTCACTCTTCTCTCATGCATCATCAAACACTGTCGTTTTTTCCTGATAATGTCTTTCACATCCATCCCTTCCTCTATGTATTGGTTTCTTATTGCCTCTGTAACAAATGACTCCAAACTTAGTGGCCTAAGACAACACAAAATTTATTCTCTTACAAATTCTGGAGGCCAGAAATCTGAAGTGAGTCTTACTGGGCTAACATCAACATATTGACAAGGCTGGCTTCCCTCTGGAGACTCCAGGAGAAAATCCACTCCTTGCCTTTTCCAGCTTCTAGAAGTCACCCATATTTAATAGTTCATGGCTTTATATCCCTTTCTCCTGACTTCCACTCCTCTGATTCTTTCATGTAAAGACTCTCATGATTACACTGTGTTGACCATGATAATCCAGGATAATCTCCTCATCTCAACATCTTTAGTCATATTTGCATTTAAAACACATATGCACAGGTTCTGGGGATTAGGACATAGACATCTTGGCAGAGGGGGACACATTATTCAGCCCACTGTACTCTATAATATCCACCTTTCCTACTTCCAGTCCTTATCTGTACCACTGAACTAGTTCAACATTTCCTGAATTGGTTTTCCTGATCCCAGCCTTTCTCCAAATTCCCCATCCATTCTACATACCAGTAACAAATATTCATCAAAACTTAGTTTTTCATCCTATTCCCCACACCGATTCCAAGGCCCTGAACCTAGTTTACTTTAGCCTGGCATTGGTCACTTGTTTATTTGTTTGTTTTTTCAGACAGTCTCACTCTGTCACCCAGGCTGGAGTGCACTGGTGCCTCGGCTCACTGTAACCTCCACCCCCAGGCTCAAGTAATTCTTCTGCCTCAACCGCCCAAGCAGCTGAGATTACAGGTGTGTGCTATCACACCTGGCTAATTTTCATATTTTTTTTAGTAGAGACAGGGTTTCAGCATGTTGGCCAGGCTGGTCTCAAACTCCTGACCTAAGGTGATACACCTGCTTTGGCCTCCAAAAGTGCTCGGATTACAGGCATGAGCCACTGTGCCCAGTCCACTCTTAACAAACTAGCTCCACACTGTCCCACTACCTATATAATTATTTGTTCAGATCATACCCCCTTCTTGCCTTCAAAATTCTCCCATTATGCCAAAGTTTATATAAGTCCCACCTCTTCCATGACTTCATCTCAGCAGTTCCAAGTCACAATGTTTCTACTTTCTTTTACTTCCTACAGCATTTTTTGTTAGGGTGATGCCTGTAGCATTTATCACTTACTACTAAGTATAGGTCCTTTCTCCACCTCTTTCTCACTGTATGATCTGAGACAAGTCATTTCCCAGCCTCTGTTTCCTTGTCTATAAAACTGACAATATTTATGTTCTAATTATAGGATCAGTATGAGGGTTCAAAGAGATAACAAAGCATTTAAGATAATTAGCATGTAGTGTTACCTCCTCTCCTTTTTCTTCTCATTTCCCTTCTTTAATATATGACCGAAATCCTTTGTCATATTAAAAATTCCTTGAAGATTCTATTTATTTTTCTTTTCTTTTTTTGAGAGTCTCTCTCTGTTGCCCAGGCTGGAGTGCAGTGTTGTGGTCTCAGCTCACTGCAACCTCTACCCCCTGGGTTCAAGCGATTCTCCTGCCTCAGCCTCTCAAGTAGCTGGGACTACAGGTGCCCACCACCACACCCAGCTAATTTTTGTATTTTTAGTAGAAACGGGTTTCACCATGTTGGTAGGCTGGTCTCGAACTCCAGACCTCAAGTGATTCACCAGCTTCGGCCTCCCAAAGTGCCAAGAATATAGGCATGAGCCATAGCGTTTGGCCCATTCCAACTATTTCTTATACATTATGCCATATACATTGGAGGCTCAATAGATACTTTATCACTATTGTTGTGTTGACAATTATGATAATGTAAAAGGACAATCTGATATTTTCACAACGTTGATATGGTCCTTGAGATTTTTATTTCTCATTTTTATTATATAAGTGAACTCCTTTTCTCTTAAACTGTTTATACTCCTATTAACTGTGTGGAGAGATTCATGCTTAATTCATTGTGGAAACACCTAAAGACAATGCTTGGCAAACAGCTGGGCTTCATCAAATATTAGCCGAAGGAATGAATCTTCTAGTGTTGTAGAATCTGCCTGTCACATCACCTCCTTTACCCATAATTGATAATATGAAAACTGAAGAAATTGTATTTAATGATCTCTAGAGTCGTTTGAAGCTCGAAAATTCACTCTTACTAGTAGAATACAGTGAATGGAGCCAGAAACCAATTTGACCAAGAAAAAACCTTTCTTAACTTTTGAATTGTTTCCTTAAACAATGCTGTCATTTAACATCCCATTCTGTGGTGCCAATTTATAATGTATATCTGTTTATGGAGGCAGAAAGGCAAATTTTTGCACTAATTGCTAAATATAAATTAAGTCAGCCACTATTCAGTAGCTATTATTTGCAACTATTTTTGGTATTACAAGCCTATCATACATATATATATTTTTACACTGTGTATATACACACACACACATACACACACACACAGTATAAAATATATTTTGTTCTAATGCAAAAAAATTTCAATCAAATATATATGTGGTGCTTATATAAATGTTCATTTGATTGAAAGTAATATAATAAAATGTTCTTTTAAAGAAAAATGTAAAATAAGGGTTGAAAATGTGAAAGTGCAGTTAATACAGGCTTTGGCCAGAAATAGCTAAGTGCCTGTCCTACGTCAGTAACTTCTCTCCTTAAGGTCCACAAGGAAAATACATGCACCGAGGATTAAGCAAATTAAAAAAACATTTGCTACTAGCTAAGGCTTTAACGCCAAACTTCAATGCAGAATTTTAGGGTACTAGTTTGGAACTTGAGTAAGAAGTACCTTTGCCTTAACTTCATTAGTCTAAAGGACCTTGAACCAAAACAGAGGCCTGTTTTCTCTACATCTTCCCCATAGCTTAAATCCACGTCTTAGATTTTGCTGTTCTAACATCCACTACATTCTTATGTATACCCCTACCACAACACTCTACTCTGAAAAAGCATGGCCTCAATGGTGTCCTTTAACTCTGCCAATCTGTAGCAGCAACTCCTCCTCCTTAGAGAAGAAATTGCCATGGCTAAAAACTGGGGTGGTCGGGGGGGGACATAAATTCCTCCCTTATACCACATAGCAAAATAAATTCCATATAAATTTGAGAAATAACAACAACAGTTTCAGAAAAAAACTGAGTGAGTACAAAATTTTGTGGCGGGGAAGGCCTCTGTAAGCACGGTACTATGAAACAAAATGGAAAAGACTGACAGGCTTTATTACGTGAAACTTAAAGCAGAAAATTAAACTCTAAAAAGGTTCAAAGGCACCATCCAACTGGGAAGATAGCTGTATTCAGAGCTTTTTAAAATAAATTTGAAGAAATTCTTCAAAAAATAGCAGAAGCCTTAATTAGGTAATCACTACCACCACCCCCCGCCCCCCGCCCTACTGACACACACGCACACATTAATGGGGAGACCTATCCAGCATTTTCCGGGAATTCTTCCCTGAAGAGAAGACATTTAAATTAAAACCTTAGGGATGTGAGGAATTTCCAGGTCGGGGAAGATCATCCCTGGCAGAGGGAACAGCATGTGTGAAAGTTCTGAGGCTGGGAAGAGCTTGTCATGTCAAGGCACTGAAAGGATTGTGGGATTGCCAGAATGGCTGGAGCAGAGTGGGCAGAAGGGGTGGCAGAAGGTAAATTTAGAGAAAAGGGCAGAGACATATCATGCAGAGCCTTCTGCAGACTTTGATTTTATTGGACGTGCAATGAGAATCCACTGGAAGGTTCTATAAAGATCACTGATGCCTGGAAAGATGGCAAGGGTGGAAGAGAAGCAA